ATTCTGCTGCCATTTAATACAATTTAAAAGGTATATTTAATCGTTGTGTGTATGAAAGATGTGAAACAGATTAGCACCACATAACAAAATAGTATACAAATTTTTCAATATGGCGGCCATTCAGGGCAGAGATCTATTCTCGAAGTAGATAGCTCTCTGTGTGCAGAATGGTTATTGACCCGTCACACGTGGAGAAGCCGTTTAGAATACGTTTTCGCCTTCGAGGCATTTCATCTTTATATAAATTGCATTTGTACGTGTTCATCAACATGTATCAACTTCAGGTAGAATGGTAATCAAGCGAAAAGTTAACGACCAGGTAGGACGTGTAGATCAGGTATATTAATTGTCTTCTTCGCGAACTGCCAAAAGGTTAGATCTCATCAACATGAAATGGAATGAGGTCAAACTTCCTTCTGCACAGACTGGGCCAGTTGCGCTATACAGTGTGCAATGAGGGAAGTTTTGCAGGGCAGCGGCAATACGACCTACTCTTAATATTAATTCCATCTTTCAACTGTTCTTTTTCATGCATGCCAAGGTCTATACGGGACTCCATTGTTAGCGAACAAGCGTCTCCCTCTGGAGTTCACAAAAACCTATCACTAATTGGAAAGTAAAATAGGGTTTAACGTCCTACTCTTTATCGAATTCCAATTCCAATTTCGTCCAACCCGAACGACTAGACGCTGTTCCTTGCCAGACCCCACGTCCAAAGGTTCATAGGCCTTCACTAACTGGGCACTAATAGAGTATATTTCATAAATTCCATCCTGGAAAAATAGCACAAATTGATTTTTGTTTATACATTTTTAATATTTTCTTAAGTTTATAAAACATGTTGTCCTAATTGAGTACATAGAATCAAACGTAGCAGAGTATTTCAATGAGGAAGAAAACAAAAATAGAATAGGAAATGAAATGAAAAGGTGTTTAATGTCCTACTGTTCTGCTCCGACTGTGCTAATGAAGACAGGCATGCGCCAAATACTGTTATTTCAAATTCCAATGTGTACACGGAATCTCGGTTTTTCTTCCCATCCGAACGACATTATGTTGTCCCTTGCCACGCCCTCCGCCTTGCCACGGCGGAAAATTCCGATGAACTTTCTCGGTCAACACTTTCGAACAGGTCAGCGAGACAACGTCTTACTCACTGAGAGACCGCGGCTCCCTAAATTTAGATAATGCATTTTGAGACTAACACCCCCCTTTCTATGGCATGTGTGCAATGCTCGGGCATCGGATTTCCATGTAATTCCAACTAGTAATGGCTTAGGGTGTTCGTCCCATCCGAACTACTGTGCAGTCATTTTCTTATCAGCCCCGCACATGCTGCCTCTGCCTGCTATATATTTTGAATTAAAATTCAGAGGTTGAAATTAAGGTCTTTCGAACAAACAATCTAGCCCGGGAATTTCTACCTACTGTTCATCGAATTCCATCTATTACAAGGACCTTTTAACTGCATTTCAGCGTGTGTACAAGTGGACCCTGCCCCTGGTTGCTTTATATAGTTTCGAAATACTCGAGATTTGGGCTTAGAGGATCCTAGAGATTGTTCAAGCCCACTTCCCACTTAGTTAAGTGTTGCCTAGCCATTCGAATGTTACGAAATAGCTATGTACATTTTTAAAAAAAGAATTGTTGATAATTGGAATGCTCCCCCAGTACTGCACACGTGAACATAGAAAAACAACCATGTTAGCCTCAATGTGACATAGGTATTGTGTTGACTTTAATCCCTCATTCTAGGGTATCCAAAAATTTAAAAATTAAAACTCTAACAATTAAACAACTACTATGTGTCATTTAAGGTGGTGATGTCTCTTAAAGAGATGCATTATGTCAGATTTTAAAAATAGATAATGAAAATTGAAAATTTCAAGTCAGATTACTTTATTCTAAACTAAATTTTAAGTTCTGGGGTAAACATACTCGATAGTCAAGTAACATTGCTACTATAATAAATACAATCTCGATTATCCACTTTAATGTTAAATTATTAACTGGCACGGGTGTTCTAATCCATTTAATATCTTAGCCATTCTGAACCAAATTTGAAGTTCTGGGGTAAATATACTCGATTGTCAAGTACCATTGCTGCTATAATAAATACAGTCTCGATTATCCACTTTAATATTAAATTATTAAATGGCACGGGTGTTCTAATCCATTTAATATCTTAGCCATCCGACTACCTAGAGTGCTGATGATGAGCTCGTCATGTTAAGAAATGTATAATTAAACAAGTAATATGTAAGAGCGAAATCTATCTATTGCAGGTCTTTCTTTGGGCTTTAAATGTTATATAAATTATTAATTAGACATTTATTAACACAAGACAATATTCAACTCTCGACGCCATCGAATGGCTCTGAGTTTAAGTAGATTAGAACGGTTCGGCCATTTAATGATTTAATTTTAAAATGGAGAAGCCCATTGATAACTTCGCTCAAAATAAAGTAATTTCAATGAAATTTTCAATATATTCATTTTGCATTATCTATTTTTGGAATATTAGTAGAACGGCCAAATCTTTATCTAAATTGTACATACTGTCCCTTTAATAATCTATATTACATTTAAAACCCCCCAAAAAATACCCGCCATAGGCAGATTTAATTTAGCGCTTAAATAATGCATCTTTAAAAAAATAAAAGTCCAACTGCCTCTGTAACGGATCAATATGTATTCATTATCAGTGAAAGAATTAAACATGACAGAAAACGTGACAACCGTCCATTTCTATTATCAATTGCATGCACTACACAGATTTATACTCCCACACGTCTTGTTTACTCTTTTAATAAAGCTGTTAATAACGTGTCTGAACAATGTTGTTTACTGGACTAGAATCCCGGCGTGGGCCGAACGCAGAACATTCCGGATTTTCCAAGATCGACCTTGACTTGCAGAAACCTTGGCAAAATTTCTCCCACAGAACACTGTATGGTTTAAATCTGTCTTAATTATCCCAGTGGATGCAGAACAAAAGGACGTTAAACCACATTTCATTTCATTTAGTCTGCAGCAACCAAGTTGTTCCGTTAGTTCACTGATTACTGTTCACAACTTTGATCTCACCCGGAAGTATGTAACACGTGACGTGACCATGATTGTCACTTGGCCACCAACACCCCAACAGCTTAGTCGAAATGTTCGTCCTCTCTAACAACGCAGTGTTAAGCAGGGAAGACATCATTCAGGAAGGAACTAAATCAGAATTTTCTTTTAAAGGAAATGAGGTCCTTAAATCTGTTTCAAAAGATGAGATAATAAAACGTTTCATGGACACTAGTTGGAAAAACGCCTGTTTTGTGGTTAGTATGGTAGATTAATACAGTAACAATAAGATTGCTGCTTGTTTTGTCTATTCATTTTTCCCTTTTTATCCCCAGGGTACCAATTCAAAATTACAAGATAACCCCTCATCAACACCTAAAAAAGAGAAAATCTGGAGCTGTGAATGACGTCACTGCTCATCATGATGAGGTACATATGTCTTTGCCACATTTTCCAATGATGGAGAGATAGTAATGCGTGCAAATTTTAAGTTTGGTCGGTTTTGTGATATAGACAGACAGATCTATGTCACAATTTGCAGCTTCTATGTTGTTGGGGTTTTTTTCAGCCTTATATGAATATCTTTACGTTGTATAGGTTTATTTATTTATTGTGTTTTGAATTTAGTATGTTATTTTAAGAGGAAAGGTACACACATATCCAGAAAGCAGTTGTGTAAAAGGTATAGTTATATTTATCGGGATGAAGACTGATATTGATGCATTGTTACCGTGGCTTTAACGGTTTGTCGTTATTTTAAAATTAATTTTAAGTTTTTCTTTCTTTAAGCACCCCCCCCCCCCCCAAAAAAAAAAACCAACAAAAAAATCCATTCAATTAATAATTTTTGAAGCCATCATTTATAACGGGTTGCATGTTGTTTTCTTTATGAACCTTAAACCGATTTCTAGTTATATGGTTTTATAAGCCTGAAATTGATATTTAATGTGCATGGTTTATCAGCCTGAAATTGATATTTAATGTGCATGGTTTTATAAGCCTGAAATTGATATTTAATGTGTGCGGTATTATCAGCCTGAAATGGATATATAATTTGTATGGGTTTATCAGCCTGAAAATGATATCTAGTTGTATGGTTTCATGGCCTTTATAGTGATACCTAGTGGCACGGTTTTGTTAACTTAAGATTGATACTAAATTGCATGGTATTATCAGTCTGAAATAGATTAAGTTAGTTTTATCACTCTAAGATTGATACCTAATCATACAGTTTGATCAGCCCGAGATTGAGGTCTGATTTTATCAGCCTGATTTAAGGTCTCTTTGAAGGTGATTTGCCAAGTGCTACTAATTGTACAGTTGCCATCATCTAATCCGCGTTACTGTCGATGTATTAAAAAAAAATGTTTCGAATCTAATCTTTTTTTTTTTTGCATCACCCACTTCACAATATCAACATTTACTTTGCGACTTTTTAATGAACTTCTGGTAAAGGACGATGTTTAATTTAAATATATTTAACAAATACTGCTCTCATGAGGCATTCCTGTTGACTCTTTTAAGGGGTGGCGTGGAAAAGGTTGATCCGGATGAAATTGTCGGATATTTGTTATCAATTTCGAAAATATTCAAATTATTTGAGATTTTGGTTCTATCTATGAATAGTTTTCATTTCTTTTCTTCAGGTATCCGCTGTGGATGCACAATCTATCAGTGATAGGATTAATGAGTTGGATAGTTTCTTTTTTTTAAAAAAAAAGTATTCGAAACAGAAACAGACGTTAAGCGAAGAAGTAAAACATTTTTTGACGACTTTACTTAATCCTCCGATATCTTTAGATGATGCTTCAACTTTTGTTAAGAGACAATTTTAGTGTTTAAAGAAAGCTGTGGTAAAAGGCAAATTCATTACGAAACCTGCCCCCCCCCCCAAAAAAAAAAAATATAAAGTACTAAAATATTATCTCTGCGCTTGTCCAAGGCGAATTGCTGTCTTTACTGTCAACAGTTTGATTGGGTGCTTAAGAGTGATTTTTCGTGACCATGGTAGAAGTTTGGAATGGAACACTAGGTTCAGGGTAGAAAATCATTGGCCTCACCATCAGTCAAAAATCATCTATGGCAGTGCGCATTGAGCAAGCAAGGTCGCTACTTAGTAAGCCAAACCTGTATTTTTAGATACTCGCATGTGTAGAATCATTGGTGTTGATGTATCTAACGAAGCTTTGAAGAGGACACAAAGATACTGTTTAACCAGAGATAAAGCTTATTTTAAGATACGTTTCTCAAGTGACAGGGCTGGTAATATGGATAGGTTGAAGTTTTCGCAGGTTAGAAGAACAAATAGTGATGGGTTATAATTCATATGTCCGAAGGAAAACCTTTAAGTCCTGAGCCAAGAAGGTTAATTATTCCTCGCGTGGAAAACAAGGGAATTTGTGTCGTCTCAAAGTTGGAATCTTACATTAGAGTGTGCGACTCACTTGGAATATAATTCAGTTCAGGTTATTTGTCCAGACCTTGCTTGTTCTTCTGGGGGTGCAGGCGTACAAAATGCCCCTGTGTCTTCCTCAGCTATGAACCACCGGAGTAAAAATCATTTGTCGGCTATCAAACTGTTCAATGGGGAAACGCCACATGGTTTACGCAGCGGATGTGCTATTAGTCTTAAGAGTTTGGGGGTTTCAGATAGAGACATTTTGTTTCATGTTGGATGGCGAACGAGTTCCATACTAGAGCAGTACACTATTCCACACTCAGTGTTGTAACAGGGGAATACCGTGCGTTTACTGGCTTCCCAACTGAATGTTTGCTCTGGCAGACCAGTCCGCGAGGTTGAGAAATTAGAAAGACCTAAAGTTTATTTAATATTTTCAGTTTTATGTTAGACAAGAAACTAAACGGTTATAAGAAATTAAACGGTTAAAAGAACACTTGGATGAACATAAACAAAAACCAAGAGAAAGAATCGGTTGATGTAATGGTTAGATAAGTCAAAGAATATGTCTCTAGAATGTCGGATATAAACCTTGACATTTTGCATCACAAACTCATTCTTCTAGACGAGAAAGCTTGGGAGTCACGTGACCAGAGGAGTGCGGAGGAATACGGTTTTATTCGTCAGCGTTTCCTAGCTAACAAACATAATCCTAATGTGGGTTCTTTGATGGTGTCCATGATTTCGTCCAAAAACAAATATCAGTTAATAGAAAAGGAACAGAAGTTCATTAAAGCATGGGGGATCAACATTCAAAAAGGTTTCAGAAGCACCGTTTTATACCGCAAAATCCAAAAATTATATGTTATAAATGTGGTGGAATGGGTCACGTCATAGCTAAATGTAATAAATAGTTTGTTTGCTTTGTATATTTCTAGAGTGCTAAGGAAATATGTAACGCTTGGGTAGACTACGAAGGAGAACCTTGTCAGTGAAAAGAAGTCAAGTTAGCTGAATATGTAATATAAACATTTGGAAGCTTCTATACAGAATTTAATTTTAGGGACCCAAATAACTTTAGGGGAGGAAGTATTCATTCGCAGGTTGATAAATAGCGAAATATTTTGTTGGAATCTCCGGATTCTATCAGGATTTTGAATTGGTTAAGTGACGGAGTTAATGTAGAAAATTCCCTAGTTCATTTCAAGGGGTCTTATGGAAATGGAAATTATGGTTAACCACTTTCTAGAATGTTTGCTAACTCTAGCTCTTGTCTAAATTTTCAAGATTTTATTACAAAGGAAATTAAGAACCGCCTTTCCTCTGGTTCCATTACTGTTTGGGGTAGAGTAAGTGAAGTATCCCTGTCTTACGCAGTTTCTCCATTACCTTTGGAGTCTATAAAACCGCGTCTATGTTTAAACATGAGATATCTCAATTGCTGGACGACGGAATGTTATTTTTCCTTAGATTCGTTGAATAATATTCCTAGATTTGTAACTAATTCTTCTTTCCTAACCAAATTAGATGACATGAGTCGATATGATCATTTTTTTGTCTCCAAAAACTCGCGCAAACTTTTAGGTTTTCAATGGAATAACATTTATTATGTATACAACACTATTCCTATTGGATGGAAGAATTCTACTTTTATATACAATACCTTAAATACTCATGTTTCTTCATATTTACGGTCTATTGGCGTAAACAACCTGATTTATACCGATGACCGTCTCATTGAGCAAGTAAATTCTAATTTGTCTTTGTCAAACTTCGAACGCGCGAAGATTGCCATTTACGTTTCTTGTGAAGTTGTATTTCGTCTTGGTTTCTTTATTGGTTTGCTAAAGTCTACTTTAATCCCAACGTAATGTTTAATTTATTTAGGAATGTGGATGGATGCACAAAAACAGACTTTTCGTCTAACAGAAAAGAAAGTTTGTAAATTTTTGGCCCTAAGAAAATCTATATTAGAATCTGACAGTATAAATTTATTAACTTTGCAAAGATTTGCTGGGAAGATAATTTCGTTCTGCCTAGCAGTACCAGGAGCGAAATTATTTGCTTCGGAATGATTTAATGCCATTTCAATGTTATCAACTTCGAAAGAAGATGTATGTATTTTATCGATAGAATTGAGAGAGGAAATCGTATTTTGGGGTTTTCTATCTGACTGGCAGGACTAAACCATGGGTTAAGGAAGAGCATTTGGTTTTGTGTTTGTCTACCGATACTTCAAATTTCAAGTGGAGTGCTGAGTTTATTTACAACAAACAGAAACAGCATTTCGGTTGCTACTGGTAGTCCTCTGAAATTGATTACCCAATCGCGATAAAAGAGGCCTTTATAGCTATTTTAAAGGCTTTGATTTGTATTAGGCATGATGTTACAAATTCCCGCCTAGATGTCAATATTGACAGATAGGTGGAAAAAAACAAGGCAGTCATTCGTCATATTTAAATATTATTCTTAAGGATACATATTTATTTTTATTCTGCAAGAATTCAATATTCATAGGAATTTAGGTTTCATTCCATCTTCAGATGGTCCTTCTGGAGTCTTCTTTAAATCGGATGCTTGCCTTTCAGATTTAGCATTTAAGAGAGTTAATCTAATATTCAGACCACATACCATTGATCTCAAGTCTCTTGATTGTAACACTATGAAGGAGAAGGATGGCGTCACTCTTCCCCATTTAACCCTGTATATAACACCAAAAACTTCAGGTATAAATGTTTTTGCACAGTCTATAAATTTACACGAGAACGCCTATGTGTTTCCCCCATTTAATATGATCTCCGCGATTATTAGCCTTGATTGTTCCAGCTGATTTTATCTTTCATTTAATATGAGGATTTTCATCATTCATTATGTGCATTTTCGAGTACAGCATGGCCTAGTTTTTCCATTTATGACATCTGGGGATATGTTTGTTGTTGGTATTTCTCTCCTAACATCTGAAGGAAGAAGGTTTAAGTTGAGGAAAGTATCCTGTTCACAACATTGACCTCCACCCGGAAGCATGTAACACGTGACGTGACCATGACTGTCATTAGCCCATCAACATATCCATGGTTTACAGAAATACTCCCGGTATCTGGTTCAGTAGTTTATATTGTATCTTGCTACCCACCCTATTACCGGGTGTTAGCCTTCTTCCTCTAGTTTTGCTCCAGGCATTTCTCTTCAGACCTTACATCTGAATGAAGAAGGTTTAAGTTGGGGAAAGTATACGGTTTATTGTTAGCAGTATCTATAATGAATATTAAAACATTTTGAATTTTGTTTTATTTATATGATCCAGGTGCAAAGCGTATTATTTTGTAGATGATCCACATTTATCTCTGAGTGGATTTATTGAAAAACCTAGTTGCAGAAGAGAAAATAGGACGTTAAACTACACTTCATTTCGTTTCATTGCATTTCGGATGGGACGCGAATCCAAGGTGAACCTTTCACTTGTCGGAGGTATAAGACTATTGTAGAATTTTTGCTCTTTAAATAAATATCATTATATTATATCCTTAACTAATTACTTGGTTCACATATTTAGTGCCCTCAAATGATGAGTGGGGTTGACACATAAAAAGAGTTATAGAAACAAACCATAGCTGGTTCTATGCTTCAACAAAATATCACCCGATCACACGTGGTCGGAAAATTACAATTGCGTCATTTGGCTTGAGTAATGTATTAACGAACTGTTGCATTGTTATTCCTGGTAAGACAAACGTCTTAACTACTGAGAAGACGAACGCCTTAACTACTGGGATAGTAAGAAGAAAACACAACGTGAAGAAGAAGCAAAAAAGACAAGTGAAAACACTAGACGATCACAAGGCTATTAAAATATGTAGCAGAGAAGAGGGAGTATGCGTCACACGTTGGATGTGGTGCGTTTTCCCATGTATTTTCCACATCTAACCAGCAACTGCATTGCACTGCATGGTGTTACGTAGGTGGTGCCTGCATGCTACGAAATGCCGAGATCTACATGTGTACACAAAGTTGTGCACGTTAAAAAAACCCTTGACAAGTGGAAATAGAAGAAGAGTTAGCGGAAACGCCACTTGTCTTGCTAAAATGCAAGGCACACGTAACCATAGAAATAAAATTTACCATTTGTTTCAAGATGCGTTGACTAGACATTAAACCTCAGTGGTGTAGGCAGTGAGGCCTTTTAAGGGACAGAGTATAGTCGTCCGGATAGGAAGGAAGAAAAAAAAACGAGGTCCCGTTTATATGTTGGCATATGAACATAAAAGAATCCTTGTTGGTTGGAAAACGCTGCTATCCGGTTACAATTTCCCTCATAGCACGCTGCGTGATCAGGTTGGTGCAAAAACCTAGGACGAAGAGTAGGCGGGAAAGCCTTTGTCAGGGCAAATTTCCCTCATAGCGCACTGCATGATGTATACCCGACTATATTTCCCGGTTGGCACAGAGCTGTAAGATATTATAACCCCAAATCATTTCATAGCCATTAAATATCAAGCCATGCCTTCGTTCCCACAGCGCAATCAATCTGCTTACCCGGTATTATGTATTAGGAGAGAAACCTATTTATGTTTGCTTCATTGAAGACCTTTTGGATTTAATTATTCTTCGCGTTGGTCAAAGATAGTGCGATTTGCAGATCAGACCAGACCACTTCTCAGTACAGATCAGACCACTTCTCAGTACAGATCTATTCTGGCTATCCAGTTAGACATATCCCCGTGCATAACTACACTATAGCTTCTTATAGTTGGTTGTGCACAAGTCTTCTTGAAACACTGTACAGGATGACTGACCTTTAAAATCAAGCCCAGCAAAGTTCTACGTGTGCTGTAAATCATAAGGTTTACATCGGACGTAGTAATACAAACTAGCCTTATTTTACGCCTCCGCGTACTATTTTATGTACCCATTCACACTAAATCGGAGATATTTTTTTTGTCTTAGTAATTTAGAAAATTGTTTTAGAATTTAATTTGCAGACGGAAAAAAGGGCAATATTTGGAGCTAATCAATTCGTCCCAGTGCCACCCCTATGAACGAATATTTACGGCTGATTAGTTTGGAACCTGTACGTGGCACTGAATTAACATAAAGCGTTCGACTCCGCCGCGATAGGAGATTAACTCTGACGATTTTCATCTACGTCTTGGAGTTTAGATGAATGTCACTGTCTATATATAGTGCTTAGTTTCGACTCGTGGAAAGATCAAACATTTGCCACAGACAGAATAAGACGACAGCTAATCCTCCTTTAAAAGATGCCTGGAGTTTGTCCTTGAATGTGATAATGGCTTTCAGGTGATCAAATAGATCACTAGGTTCCTATCTCCATCTCATCTCAATGTCCACAAAAAAATATGATGACGTACGTCCATTATTTTAATTAATCATGGGGAGACATCTGCTTTGTTTAAGAATCTACTCCATCAGTAAGTAGCATAGAGATAATATGACAGTGATAAGATAGAGGGTCCTAAAAAAGATATTCCATGATTACTATTGGAAAATCTCTGCTATAAAATACCTATCATAATGGGCGTTGTCGTCATTATGTGTTAAATAAGATGAAATAGGGTTTAATGTCTTAGCTTGATGCACCAATTGAGCTGGGTATACATATTTTCCCAGATAGTTTTTTTTTTTCGATTTTCAATTGCCAGGAAATCTTTAACGTGCTGCTCGTGGGAGGGCCTGACAATGACGGCTGTCTAGTCGTTCGGGTGGGACGAAAAACCGAGGTCCGTGTATACATTGGCATGCTCGTAAAAGATATGAGTAGGCCATACTGCCGCTGCCCGGGCAAAATTTACCTCATAGCACACGGTATGGCGTATGCCCGTCTTCATTAGCCCAGTCGGAGCAGAATAGTGGGACGTTAAACCCCATTTTATTTCTTTCAGAGATTCAGCTTTCACACTATTGTAGTTTGTAAGGGAATCCTGAATT